GCCAAAACAATTTCATTGCTAAGTACACTTCTTAATGTTCTCCTTCGCGTCGATCACAGTGGCAATACCGGAGGAACTAGATCAGAACAAACGCGAGTTTGTGTTTATGCAAAGATTACTTGTATGATATGATCACTGACAAGAACAGAGTCCACCTTTGACCTTGCATGGATAAAATCTTAACAAACTCAATCCAGGTGACAAGAAAAAAGGTGGCTTTTCTTATCTTCCTATTGCGTCAAGATGCAAGGAAACCTAGTTGTCGATCGAAATGAAAAAAAGACCCAAGGAATATTAATGGCTGCAAGTGCAAGATTACCCAATCATTGCCTAATTTGGAAATCTAAGGCGGTGCCCATTTGGATACGTTTTGTGTAGCTCCAAGTCAGTTCATATCTTCTACCTTCTCCTCTCTTAAGTAGCAGCACTTCATTTTCCAAGCTAGCCTGGCATAGCTTCTCTTGTTCTTTGATTAGACAAGTTTTTCAACCTAATCTTACGCCGGAAGTATAACTTGTATGAATCTTATGAATAGACCAGAACAAAAAGTAGTAGTTAGTCTCAGCTTATAAAAGACATGAGAATGCTACCTAATTAATGTAGACTACAGAAGAAAATGTTGAGTGTTAAGAAAGGAAAAAAATTGCATAAATACATAGATATGCATTGTGATGCATATTGTGATAATGATTGTTTTCTAAAATAATTTTTATTAAAAAATATATTTTTTATTTTAAAATTTTATTTTTAATATCAATATATCAAAATAATCTAAAACATGAAAAAAAAATAAAAAATAAAAATCTTTAAAAACTCCCTGCCATCAAGCTCAAAATCCCCCCCCCCCTTTTCAAGACAACAAGGACATGACTCAAAATTAATGATTGTTGCAAGAAATGATTTTGACTTGATAGATTTATATTGACTAAAATTATTTATAATAAATGTAATTAAAACTTGAGAATTGTTTTTTATTTTTTATTTTTTATTTTTGAAGAAGTAGAAAAGAGAAAAACAAATAGAAAATTCCTCTCCCTCTCTCTCTCTCTCTACACCTTATTTGTTCTTGTGCTTTCCTTTCTCTAGCTTGAAGTTCCTTTCTTGTAAATAGAAAATATGTATAAGATTTTTAGTTTGTAGGTGTTGATTGAAAGTGCATTCTTTTGGAGTATTCTTGTTACGTACGTTGCATTGAGATCTTTGTACATGTTGACAAGCAATAGGTAGTGTAGTCTTTGAATGCGGCTTCAATTGTGTTTTATAAAAAATATTATTTTTTTATTTTTAAATTATTTTAATATTCTAATATTAAAAATAAATTTTTTAAATAAAAAATTAATTCAATATATTTCTAAATACAAAACAATTTAAAAAAAATTATAACTATACTTCCAAACACTCTTTGACAGCTGGGATGACATAATTTTTGATAACTTTCATGCTTTAGATCTGAAATTGTATGCTTTAGACTTATCTTTTATTTAATTTTTCTTCGTGTTTTCATTATCTGCAAATGTATTTAATTGTTTCTTCTAATCGATGTCCCACTTGAATTATTTTCTCCCTCCATCGTCTGCAGGGGGAGAGAGCTCATTGCTGCATGATTAGATTAAAAAATACAAAGTAGGAGAGCTTTCATACAATCAATGTCTTTGGTTGGGCAATACAGATAGTGACTGAACCCTAAATCTTTATCTCATATTCATGTCAGCTACGCTGACAAAACAATGTCAGTTAGGAATGATGGGGGTGTGGGGGATGTTCTAAGAATGGAGAAACCCCACACTACATGATGAATCACTGATGATGATCATACATAATAAAATCCTATCCTACACCAGAACTCTGACTTTGTGATTTGAGCTATCGAATCGATGGTCTAATAGCAATTGATGAGGCAAAACAAAACAATGCTGCCAACTTTTCACAAGAAATTCTTCGCTACGCATGCCTGATCTGCCATGTTTTGAGCCAAATTATTTGATTCATTCCTCTCTTACATGAACATATGATCCTAATACGCATACACACAGCTACTTACTACCATTTAGAAAGCTTCATCAGCATATATAGTATATGGCTAAAAGTGGCTTCACCTGGCAAGGAAGTATAGAATATACGTGGGCAAGATCTTGTGTAATAAATGAGGAACTAGGTTCATTTTTCCTCCACTCGTATCTTCTTTCCTTGGTCAGGAGTACTGTGGGAGAGATTAGTTGCCACACAAGTAGATGAAAGATGCAGCCATCACTTCGGTACAAAAGGAAAGAGACAAGTTATAGTCACCCTTTCTTTCTTGTAAGAAATCAAATCCTTATAATGTCAATGTAATCTCTTTGACTCAAACATCTTCTTAGGTTACTTGTACAACAACTTGAGGAGATCTTTTTTCTCTTCCAAAACACATTATTTCCCTATAAATAGTACTGTGGGGAATTGCATATACAGGGAGGCCGAACTGACTTGTGAAGTGGGAACCAATCAAGCCCTAGCTCCCATATATAGGAAAGTGACTTGGACATAGCCTAGAATGAACCATGTGCCTTGCCAAGCCATTTCAATCATCACAATTCTTGATTTATCGTTTTTGTATGCCCCATCAGGTTTACTTGTCCTTTCAGGCTTGCAGGTGACAACGCTACAAAACTTCATATCAAGCCTCTGTATCCATGAGTTCGAATTTAACCAACCATACTTAAGGCTCTCTCCATCTCCACAATCTCGTGAGCTCGAATTTACTGCTAAGACTATCACTTACATATATTATCTACTACGTTATGGAAGAATTGAATGCCTTCAGTAAGGCTACAGGAGAGAGACCACTCTGGCTAACTAACATGGAAGTGCTACCTTTTCAAGTACAGACCAACAAAGATATAACCACTGATCATGTTGTTTAGATGTAAATGCATTCTAGGAACATTTTGGTTGTTCAAGCTGGTCTTGTAAACTCATCGATGAATTGAGTGTAGAGAGCTACAGGGACCTATAATCCCCCCCTTTTCGTATACGTTCATTGAATAGTGATTTTCATTCTTATAAATAGAGCAAAGTATTTGGATTTGCTAGTGAATTGAGTAGATTTTCAATAAAATAGTTAGATAAGTTAACAGAGCCCGCGCATTTGCTCATTTAAATTTTAAGTTATTCTTAAAACACATCATATCATAACTTCGAATGCTTTGAAATTATGTGTGTATGAACTTATATACATATATATATAATGGATTAATTAGTGGATCTCATGCAAAACCCACACGCCTAAACTTTGGTAAAATCTGGGGAATATTTTGAATGATAGCTTTAAATTGCTCTTTTTGGGTTTTGTATACTTAATATGTTCATTCACTATCTTCAAAGCATGGTGGAAACAAAAATGGGAGAGATTTGTAAGCATCATTGGCAAGATAAGGTTGGATGGGTGGCCCCTTTCTAATTCTTTAAAATAAGTCCTTGAAACGGACTGAAAGGAAAGCAATTAAACTCGTTATTGTCTTGGTACTGTGTCACTGCCCCTGAATAATAACAGAAAGAGTTTGCTTTTGCAAAAATGGCAAAATGCATGCATTGATGGTAAGTAACATCATCACTACCCTAACAAGATAATACATGCATAAATCTGCTGCCTCTCTACCCAGAAAATCACCTTAGAAACTTATGCTAGGAGCGCCCACAAACTCAAAGATCCAATAATTACAATTTGTTAGAGCTGATTTTTATTATATATAAAGGAATAACGTTATTTCCCTGGAAATTTTCTTTTTAAATTGATAAGATTTTTTCAGTTTTTGAAAAGTTTGAGAAGAATGCCGCGCGTAATTTTTTATTTAATTTTTAAATCGAGTTGAAATTAAAAAAAAAATTATACAAGCTATGTTAAAATATAAGATTATAATTGTATAGTAATAAGAGATCAGGAAGACTTTCAAATAACCAAGAAAGTTACAGTTCAAGTTTTTCTTTATTTTTCTTTTTATATTTGGTTTGTTTTAAGGACTTTTAATTTAATTTAGATCTTACCGATGTCTTTCTTCTATTTAAACAGCCTTGTAAACTATTATTAAAATTAAATATTATTGAATTTTTTTTTTTAATATTTCATAGTTTTATCTACAATTTAGAACTATAAAATTTAAGAAGTCACGAATATCTAATTTTTGTCCACACTGTAAACCGCGTGAAGAAAACTTCCTCTGACACCTTATAAAGGCCAAGCTAGCGGATTCGTGGATGGGACTTTGCCTTCATTCCTCTTATCACAAGCCGAAGGTATAATTAAACTTATGTAAATTAAGATATATCTTTGAATAACATGGATTAATGATTTTTTTTTTTTTGATAATCATCAAGAAGATATTGAGAAGGCCATAAAGCTAATAAACAAAGAGAAACCCAGGAGATATAAAAAAAGAAAAAAAATTAATTTACTAAAACAAATAACAAAAAAACTACCTGATATTTTTTATTACACCATAATTTAATGCCATCAGAAAATATTGAAAGATCATTTCTAAATTTGAATCCTGAATATACAACTAAATAGTAACCTGATAAAGAATGGTGGAGAAACAATCAAACAAGTTTATAGTTTTTTCTTCAAAAATAATTTTGTTCTAAAACAACCAAATATTTTAAATAGTACTATTTGAAATTAATCTTCAAATTAATTTTTAAAATTTATTGTGTATCATTTCAGATCATTGTAAAAACAATGAGTCAAGTATTGTCGAGAAACAACATGGATTAATGATTTTATAACGCATTCTAATTTTATAACTTTTTCCTTAACTTTTGAAGAAGACAACACACTAATAATGCATAATTTATTAGCTACACCCTGATTCTATTAAAATTAAGATACTTGAACAAATATCTCTACAAATTAATTATTAATTACCATAATGGAGAGACATTCACACATGGAACAGTTGAGCCTATTGGCTACGGAGGAAGCAAGGACTGAAAGCAATATGGTGGGTGCCCCAATCACTTGAAGTAAAACCAAAATTTTGGACATATCTGAACTTGTTCTCCTATTTAATGAGATATGCCTCTCTAGTTAAGAGTACTTGTACTCCAGCAAACAACATATCGAGAGAGAGAGAGAGAGGGAGAGTGGGAGCTAGGGGGGGAGAGATGGCAGCTAAGGTCGAAATCCCATTTCTTGATATCTCTGGGGAAGCTTTGGCAGGCTTAGAAGTTAAGAGTGAGAAGTGGAAAGAATTGTGTAACCAAGTTAGAGAGGCATGTGAGACTCACGGGATCTTCTTTTTGGTTTATGATAAGATTCCTACTAGCCTACGTGAAGAAATGTTTGTTGCCCTGAAGGCACTGTTTGATCTTCCCGAGGAGACAAAGAACAAGCACGTCAATCCTAAGCCATATCGAAGTTACTTAGGTAACTGTCCTGTAATTCCTTTTCATGAGAGCTTTGGTGTTGATGATGCTCCAACTCTTGACGCTTCTCAAGCTTTTACCAACCTTATGTGGCCAGAAGGGAACCCAAGTTTCTGGTAAGACTACTCTCCGTCATCTTTCTTGATGATTGTTTCGTTTCCATGTTAGAAGTTTTTGCTTGATGTAATTTAGCTGCAATTATCTGATACTGTTCGAAAATGATGCTAATTTCTTTGAGATTATTATAAAATTCACAGCTAAAGATTAAGGTTTAATTAGTGATCTCTTTGTCATAAATATTCATGATCAATTCTAGCCACAAGAAGAACTGAATTGTGGAATTAAGGGAAGTGTAACACGCATCAGTAAAGGTAATGGCTTAATTTATAGCATGCAAGTAAAGTTTATGTCTTTTGGCTTTGTTTTTGCTTAATTATTAGATAATCAGTCATCACTAAACGATCATTTTCTCAATAATTTTACCTTTTAATTCCTTCAACCTTATCACGACACACACAAAAAAGAGATTGCCCCACTTCTTTAATTAATTAATTTCTTGCAAAACCACCTTTCAGATTATTAATTTCCTTTCTTGGTTGGGATACTCCAGCTGTTCTTCTTCTGACCTCTAAACATGTCTTGATGTCATGGCCAAAGACCCCAAGTCACCATCAAGAGAGATTGAACTCTGAACTGCACCTATAATGGAAAAAAATGAGAAAATTGTTATGAAAAATCTGCAGTAATTATAAAATACTATAATAGAGAAAAAATTAAAAGAAATATAAAGATTTAACGTGATTTCTTAACATATCTATATCTATAAACAAAGAGTTCTTACTTTCTTTATATCAAAATAGAGTTATATAATATACATTTATATTAGATTCCACTAAACTGCTTGACAAATTCTAATCGTTCAAGAAATTCTAGCAGTCCAAAAAATATTAATAATTTTTCTATAATATTCTTTTACTGTAATAATTCATTTATACATCACATTTTGAATTTACAGCAAATATAAACTATGTTATTCGTCAAAATTTTAAATTTTTTGTGGCAATAGCACAAAATACTCTAGACAGCTATCATAGTATTTGATAGTATCTTACAGTAGCCTGTTGAGGCTATGGAATGGTGGTTCTTAGCTCTTGTCACATCAACAGCAATACTTACGCATGATGATGGTAGCTACCAAACAGAATTGCTAGCTGCCAATGCACAATTTATTAGGGGCTTATCCTTTGAAACAGATTGAATTTATTACAATGCCAGCTTTAAAATGATTGTTCTTGTTCAAAACTCATGCACATGTCCTGCAGAATAAAAGTCAGCACCTGAGAGGTAGAATCAGCCTTTTTCAATAGCTGTTGGCAGTTCCATTAAATTCCATTTGGTCTTAATATCAGTGGGTGTCGTAAGGACACAGTCCTGGATTTAATTTGCAATATTCCATATGAATAATTCTATTTTCATCAGCCGTTGGTTTATAAGTTCATCACTATGACCCACCTGGTATTATAATCTAACGGTTGTGAAATCTTTATGGGACTTTCAAAGCAATTTTATCTGTCATGGTTGTTTAAACTTTGTGCGAGTCCTGCATGATGCAGATAAATGTATATAACAGGGAGTCTTCAAAATCTTTGTGTTGCAAAATGTCATTGTTTCATTGAAAAAAACCCAATAATTCTTGGTTAATTAGTTAAATATCCATCAACTCACCCTCGAGTTGACCTGTTCAACGAGCCTTGAGTCGAGTCATGAGCCCGGCAGTAGATAGAACCGACCAATTTTTATTTTGCTCTTATAAAAGTCAACACAATCGATTTTTTAATTGATCAATCTCAAATTCTGCCGTATAATCCTGTTAGCAAGGCGGAGGCATGGTAAAGGTTTGGATGGGCTCTAACAGGGGTCATAATTTTTTAAATATTTATTTACTAGTTTTATATAAAAAAAATCCATACTTTTTAATTGTGTTATTCAAAAATTCTGAAAATCTACATGTAATATAATACTTGAGTTAAAATTTTAATTTTTTTTAAAAAATTTATAAATTTGATGAAAAATTGTAATTTGATTAATTTTATATTATGGTATGTAATTTTCAATCCGATCATTAGATTGAGTTAAAATTTTACAAGAAATTTTAAAATATATTAAATAAAATATGGTTAAAATTTTAAAATAAATGAAACTTGATAATGCTAATAAAAAAAACTATCAAATAAGAATAAAACGACTAATTAAGGGTAAAATGATTATTTATTATTAAAAAATAAAATAAATTAGCTCTTCCTTTCTTTTATATGTTGTTAATTGGGTAGAAGGATAATAAAAAAAGAAAAAAAATATAAAAGGCAAGAGAGAAAGAAAGAAAAATATGGGAAAAACATAAAAAAATTCAAGAAAAAAATAAAAAATAAAAAAATAACCTTATAAACTTATAATAAAAAAATTCAAGAAAAAAATAAAAAAGTAAAAGAATAACCTTATAAACTTACAAAATACAACTTGTAAAACACTAATATAAGAAAGAATCAAATGGAAGGAGGAATTGAGAAAAACAAATTTAATTATTTTATTTTCTAGTTGATATAAAATTATTATTTTATCTCAGTTGAAAGGTTGTTATAATATCTATTTAAATTTAATTATAAATGAATTATATTCTACAAAATAGTAAATGATATAATTTTAATAGTGAATTTATTTTTACTTTCATTTTTATTTTATATACTATCAAATTTATTTTTTAATATTTTAGATAATGTATTTGAATTAAAACTTTACTATTAATTTCAAAAATTTATATATATAAGTTAATAATTATTTTTTAAAAATTATATATTTATTTAATAGCTTACGAAAAGAAAAATTGCTGGACCTTGCTGTATTAAACAAAACTAGGACGCATGGAACGTGTCTAATAGGATATGGCTGGCAGCATTTATTAATATTTTCTGTCCCACTTCTTTTATTTTTATTTTCTGGCGGTGTAGTGAGACCATCCATGGCATGAGCTCTAAGATGCAAGAACTGAATTTTCTGGTGATGAAAATGATATACGAAAGCTTTGACATTGAAAAGCTCTATGACTCTTTCGTTGAGGAAACCACCAGTATATTTCGAATAATGAAGTATAAAGTTCCTCCAAGTGCGACGGACTCGTCCATCGGTCTAGTGGCTCACACTGACAAAAATGCCATCACCATTTTATGCCAAAATGAAGTTCAGGGTCTTGAGATTCAAACCAAGAATGGAGATTGGGCTCAAGTCATGGTTCCAGAGAATGCTTTCACAGCTGTTGTTGGTGACGCCCTCAAGGTAAAAACCTCTCGATCAAATTTAAGTTTAAATTATGTGCATACATTAATGGGTTTTATCGATCCACTGCAGAATTATAACCACTATTAGATAGACAAGAACACCTCAAACCGAAGTGAACGACTGTCCAAAGTATATATTAGTTAAATTAACATGCATGACTCGGATTCTATGCTAAGGTAGTAGTAACCAATATTGGTGTTCTAGGCATGGAGCAATGGCAGACTTCACGCAGCAAGGCATAGGGTGGTGATTAGCGGGGAAAAAGACAGGTATTCTTGTGGACTGTTTTCAATGCCGAAGGAGGAAGCAGTAGTTGAGGTGCCAGATGAACTCGTGGACAAGGAGCATCCTCTTCAATACAGGCCATTTAATTATTCAGATTATATCTCCTACTTTGTTTCCAAACTAAGTGATGATGCGTTGGAGATATATGCTGGCATTTGAAGACTTTGTCGGGTCGCCCAACTACTCTTTTATAATTAATACCTTGTTGCTAATCATGTTAATTGCCCTACTTCGATATAATATATATATATATATGTATATATAAATGTGTTTACAGTCGTGAATGTGCATGCAAATGTTTAAGAAAACTTGCCTACATCCTATCAAGGCAACTTGTAATTTCTTTTTTTCTTAATTTTCTTTTTAATACACAGCTTTTTCTATACTAGCATTGTGTGTTTTATAGTGTGATATATATTGTTTTTTAATTGAAAATATGTCAAGATAATTTTTATTTTTATTTTTATTTTTGACATGTGTATGTAAAAGCTATAAGCAAGGTTGATGGAATTTTCCTTTCAAAGGTGGGGTTAATTAAACGTGTCGTCCCTGTACAATAATCATTTGATTTACCGAGTCCTTGTAGTACTAATTTCATGAATTGAGTCCTTTTACGTTGTGTTTTGTTTGCAATCAAGGTCTCCATTTAGAACGTTTGTTGGTTGTGATTTTTTTTGTTCTAATTAATTGAACGAATGTCTCTTTTTACTAAAATTATATTAAATTAATTATGTGTGTAATTTAAAAAAAAAAACCAAGTCAAGAACCGTGTTCTTCGACCACCTAACATCAATCACGATTAAAATGAATTCTACATAAAAAATAATCTTAATTAAAAACTTAATCATGTAACAACCATTTAAATTCAGCAAAAATCCAAAAACAAAACCCATCAAGATGTTTGAAAACTCTCCATTGCATTATTAAAATTATCATCACTACTATCACACGTACCTTGGATTCATTAATCAACTTCAAACCACTAACACTTCACCATTTCCATTTGAAACTCCATCTCCGATGATAAAGGCATCATCTCTTGCCATTTTCTATTACCACCTCTCCTCCTCCTCCTCCTCCTCCTACATGCTCCACCAACTAGTGTTTGTCCTTTGGACCAACTCTTGTTCATCAACTTAAGCTTCTGTTAGTACTCAAGATAACACCTGGTGTCTGGTGGATTCTTGTGAGAATAAAATTAAAGATTTTCCCATTAATTAAGAAAGGAGGGCTATGGTTATATATATATATATATACTTATATATATATATAATAGTAATTCATCAAAATAATAGTAAAGGGACCTAATTAATCAAATCACCATAGTAACATGATGACGTCCATGCAGTTAACCCTTCAAAGGGGAGAAAATTTTCTTGGTGACGATGACATGTTTGGCCTTTTCAAAATGGTCAATGGCTGTTACGTATTCTGTCATTAATCTGACTTTTAAAAAGAGTTGATGATGTGCTTCATTGCCTGGCATAGTGAGGTGTGAAACTCATGAAAGCACTTGGAGATAAGTACATAAATGAAAATCATACTCGTAATGATGATAATAGTTATTACATTTATTTCGTGATTGACCTAATTTAAAACCTTATCTGAGCTGAGTATTATTTTAAATAGGATTTGATATTGATTTAGTTAAATCATATTAACATGATGAGTTAATTTGTGAGGTTGATATTTCATCCAAATTTCATAATGTAAAAACCAAATATTTTATTAAAAAAACTAAAAAACATTATTTTGAATAAAATATAATTTTAAGCTAGCTAGAAACTAAAGAATTTATTTTAAACAAATCTGAAATGATGTTATTTATATTATAGCATAAATTTAAAGAGATGGTGCTCTTACTGTATATTAACTTATAAAAAATTATTTTTTGTAATAGTGTTTTTTTTTTAAATCTAATATTTTTTTCTCTAAATCTATATTTTTTAATTTTAATTTCATACTCCAATAATTATTTTATTGAAGATTAGGTTTTATAATTTATTGTAATTTGCTTTATATGTAGTTATCTCGGCCTTATAATATATGTTACAGGTTTGACGGGCTAACTTAGTTGGCTCAATTTTTTTTTGTAATTAATATTTTTTTTCAATTCTATTCTTGAATATTGAGTTGATTGAGAATTAAACTTAATAATTTATTTTGGTTTACTTTTCATGAGATTATTTCGATTTTATGACTCAAGTCGCGTGTTTGGTGGGTTAACCAAGTTGACTCAAGATTTTTTGCCTTTTTTATTAGATTTTTTTTTATATTTCATTCTTCAATATTGGGTTGATTATGAATGGGGCTTCAAGATTTATTTTGGTTTGCTTTTTATAAGGATATCTTAGTTTTATGACTCGAGTCATATGTTTTACAAGTTAACCTAAGTAGATTCAGATCATTTTATTGTTTTGTTTTTAGATTGTTTTTTTTTCAACCTTCAGCAATAAGTTTATTAAAAACTGGATTTCATAATTTTTTTTAACTTACTTTTTATAAGGTTATCATAGTCTTATAACTTTGGTCTCAAGTTTGGCAGACTAATCTGGGTTAACTAAGTTTTTTTTTTTTTTTACTTTTTATAAAATTATCTCGATCTCATAACTCAGATGATGAGTTTGACAGGTTAACTCAGGTCAAATTACTATTTTTATTTTTTACTATTGTTTTTCAATTTCATTTTTAAACATTGAGTTAATTGGGAATTGAGCTTCATAATTTATTTTGATTTGCTTTATATGAGGTTATCATGATCTCATGATTAACATTTTGAATTTGATAGATTAATTCGAGTTGGCCTAGATTGATTTAATATGTTGTTGTTTCAATATAATTCTTTTAAAAAATATTATCTTGAATTTTTATAAATCAAACTATATTCTGACTTATCATTTGAGTTTTATTTGGATCCATCAAATCAATTGGGTTATATTAAATTAATCTCCACATGGTTAATTTTTTTTTATTTTACTAAAAAAATATTAGCAATATCCACGTGTTTATTTTGTATGTTAATTTTTTTTTTTCTGACCTATAGGATAGTGCATATCAATAATCCAAGTGAAATCTAATTACATAACTCTATTTCACACTACTAAAGACAACAATGATAATAACTACAAATAGTTACACAAATAATCTTAGAGATGTGTAATTCATGTTGCCTAGCTAGCAAGTTTCAGTGTTATTTGGCTATGATATTATCCATGTTTTTAAAAAAAATTTCAATGTTATTTTAATGCATGCATGGTCAAAGCAATCACTGATCGATGAACTTCAGTATATCAAAACAAATTCTGTTTTTTCCACAAGCTTTCCCTCGTAATTGAAGGAAAAAAAATGGTACCTGGAAAAGCGCTCCGCCTAAGTGTGTGCTTATTATGATATATAATCCAAGTCACGGTAATTGTTCTTAATTTCTTAAATTTGTCTCATAATTAATTTCTATAGTGGAGGAGGAGAGCATGCTTGTTTATATACAAATATTAAATAGTATATAGTGGAATATTTAACAAACCCAGCAAATTAAATCCATGTAATTAAACAAATTAATTGAACAAATCAATATATTTTATATTAAATCTGACCTCTACGAAGACTCGAGCAATGCAACTAGTTTATACACAAATAAAGGATAATAATGTTAAGGAATTGGGTTGAGTGGTTAAAAAGTTAGTAGTATTTGATATTGTGATAGTGATTATTTTTAGAATATTTTTTATTTAAAAATTTATTATAATATTTTTTTTAAAATTAATTTTTTATATTATCATATTAAAACGATACAAAAATATAAAAAAACAATTTAAAATAAAAATAAATTCAAAATTTTTTCAGGATGCCACTGTAAAAACAATGATTACATTGCTCTATTTCTTAGCTTCTTAACTTGCTATGTTCAAACTTTAGAATTAATATCTTGGAGAATATATTAAATTTTGTTAAATGTATCAGTTTGATTATATGATGTAGAAAAGAAACTAATCTTGATTGACATGCTAGAGGAGGAAACTCCTTGCCATTGAAGAAATAAATAAATAAATAATAATATAAACCTTTTTGAAAACACTTGACTTGACTTGTGATGTAATTTAGGATAAATGTAATAACAGATATGATTTAACGTATTTTTTATTTAAAAATATATTTAAATAATTTTTTTTTTATTTTTTTAAAATTATTTTTGATATTAATATATTAAAAAAATATGAAAAAAATAAAAATAAAACTTTTTAAATTTTTAAAAATACAGTTTAGCTATGTTTTCTAATACTACCGAAAGGTAGGGGGGGAGGAAGGTGTCCTTGAAAATTAATTTTATGAATGGGCCTATTGGGCTGAACATTGGAATCCATAAAATAATTAGACCTGGCCTTTACCTTAGCCTTATCCTGATTAGATGTGGGCTTTCAAGTGTCCAATAATATTTGGGCCTCCGTCGAAGATAATTAAGAGTTAAAGCGACTGTTTATCGAGCCCAGGCCTCCAACCAACGGCCAAGGATTAATCGTACAGTTGGCCCCTGTACTTTTATATTTCATCAACTTTGTCCTCTACTTCTTGTTGCTTAACTGGAGTACTGGACCCTGACTCAAGAAAATATCTTCATCAGTTTTATTACAGATGTGTTTACCAAAACGTACGATTAATCCAGGACCAGCAACTCTCAATTATCCATAATCATCTGACATTGGCATGGCTGGCAGTTGGCAGTACGCTCTTTGATCTTCTCGTAACCAAAACAAACCTTGAAAAGAATGAGTGATTTTCTCGTACTAATGCAGCAATAACAGGCTGATGATACTGATAAAGTCACGGGATTTGAAGAGGAGTTACAAAATGCAAGACGTTCAGTAGAAACACTGACTACCACTTTGGAAAATCTGGTTAGCAATTTATTTATCAAACATGTATTCATCTAACTGGACTTTTTTTTTTCCTGTTGTGAGTTTTCAATTTTGAGCTGTTAGATTTGGTGGGTTCTTGTTAGAATCAAGCGAAAGCTGATGTCTTGAACAATTTAGAGAATGAACCCGCAATGAAGGTGATGGTACTAATAATGGGTGCGGAAACTCTTCTGAGATCATTGAAGGTAATGAAACGCTCGGTGATAATGGTGAATGTTGAGAAAGGTTCTTTCCTTATTGTGTTTTTATTTTGTTTTTATAGGATTTGGAATTGCAAGAATCTGTTTTGCAATCTGATTATGATGTGAAACGAACTGACTTGGAAACTG